TTGAGGTAACTACTGTGGATGAGGATGAGCCGAGTGAAAATGCTTTTCCTGTATTGTTTTACGGCGGAAATTTTAATGCAGAAGACTGGTATGTCGACTCGGGAGCAAGTTGCCACTTTACATCCAATGATTGGGTCCAAAATAAAGTTTTTGATGCTAAATTACCCGAAATAATGGTAGCAAACAAGGAAAAACTGCCAGCAAAGTGCATAGGTGAAACCTTAATAAAGACTATTGTTAAAAATAAAACTTTTGAAATCCCTATAAGAAATGTTATATGTGTACCAGGGCTGTCAACATATTTACTATCTGTAAGCCAACTGATACAAAACAAAAACACAGTTAAGTTTGAAAATAATTGTTGTAATATTTTTAACCGGCAAAATGAGTTAGTGGCAACAGCAAATTTACACGATGGTGTTTACAAATTGAATGTGGCCAAACAGGATGGTTTACCTGCAGTGCTTGCACGGGCTACACCTGGCATCGACGTTTAGGCCACATTAACTCGACAGATCTAAACAAAATACGAAATGGAGCTGTAGAAGGTCTAGATTGTAAAGATAATGCTGATTTTAAGAAGGAAAATTGTACCATTTGTTGCAAAGGTAAACAGTCGCGCTTACCCTTCAATAAGTCGGGGACAAGAGCTTCAACAATTTTGGAAGTAATCCATGCAGATGTATGTGGCCCTATGGAGGAGTGTTCGATTGGTGGCTCTAGTTATTTTTTAATATTTGAAGATGATTTCAGTAGGATGGGATTCATTTACTTTTTGAAAAGAAAAGATCAGGTTTTTAATTGTTTTAAGAATTTTAAATCAATGGTAGAAAAACAAAAACCATACACAATAAAAATTTTCAGAACTGATAATGGGGGTGAATTTTGTTCAAATACTTTTAACTATTACTTAAAACAGAATGGTATAATTCACCAAAAAACAAATAGTTACACTCCTGAGCAGAATGGCATGTCAGAACGGCTTAAAACTGTACATTGATTGAGAAAGCGAGGTGTATGTTATTTGATGCTGGTCTCCCCAAAAAATTTTGGGCCGAGGCATCATACACAGCTATGTATCTACGAAATAGGTCAGTAGCATCAGGCTTAAATGGCAAAACACCATTTGAAATGTGGCATAACCGAAAACCTGACCTGAAAAATCTTAGAATATTTGGAAGTAAAGTAATGGTTCATACAGCTAAACAAGAAAGAAGAAAAAGGGATGAAAAGGCCAAAGAAATGATTTTAGTTGGTTATAGTGAAAATACAAAAGGATATAAAGTGTACAACCCTGAAACAGGAGAGATAAAGATTAGTAGAGATGTTATAATTATGGAAAATTGTAAAAATGACACTGTTGAAATATCTATTAGAGAAAACCCAGTTTCAGTGGGGGATAATCCTGAACAAAATGAAGATGAAGTGTTGAATACTTCTACAAATGAAAGTGAAGAATATAATACTAATGAACCAGAGGATGCCGAATACATCCCTGATATAGCTGTCGAATTTCCTGAAAATATAAGAAGGTCTCAGCGAGAAAAGAAAGAAAAGCAGTTTCAAGATTATGTGACATATATGTGTTCCAGTAGTGAAATAAGCCCTAGTGATGATCCGCTTAGTGTTAGTGAAGCAATGTTGGGACCAGACAAAGAAAAATGGCGACAAGCAATGGTAGAAGAATATCATTCTTTCATGGAGAATGATGCCTGGGAAATTGTTGAAAAACCAGAAGATAAAAATGTGGTAAAGTGTAAGTGGGTCTTAAAAAAAAAAAATAGTGACGGAAGTGCGCGTTACCGAGCTAGGCCGGTGTTGATTATAATGAAACCTTCTCACCAGTGGTAAGATATTCCACAATACGATTACTAATTGCATTATCTGTTCAATTAGACTTAAGTATAACCCATCTTGATGTTATGACAATAGTAGCTTTATACGTAGATGACTTTTTTGTTTTTTCCAATGACTCTATGGAGGTAGAATCCCTGAAGTTAGAATTGAATAAAAATTTTAAATTGAAAGACTTAGGTAATCTGCAACAATTTCTTGTGGTAACAATTACTAGAGATTTGAAACAGGGAATAATCACTATAGATCAGAAAGATTATATAAATCAAACACTAAAAAGATTTGAAATGTTTAATTGTAAATCTTCTCCTACACCTCTTGAAACTAATTTAAATTTTGATGTTGATATTCAGATAGAAAACTGTAACAATTTACCTTATCAACAACTCATGGGGTGTTAATGTACTTATCAGTGTTAACTAGACCTGATATTTCACATTCAGTGAGCTTTCTAAGCCAGTTTAATAATAATTTTAATGTGGAGCATTGGAAGCATGCAAAACGTATACTAAAGTATTTACAGGGCACTAAAGATTTTGGTTTAGTATATAAAAAGTGTAATTTTGAAATTTTAGGTTTTGTAGATGCTGACTGGGGGGGTGATATGACCGATAGGAAATCTTATACAGGGTTTGTTTTTAAACTATCTGAAGGCGCCATATCATGGGAAAGCCGCAAACAGAGGACAGTAGCACTGTCTAGCACAGAGGCGGAATATATGGCTCTTTCAGAGGCTGCAAAAGAAGCCTTGTATCTGAAAAACTTAATGGGTGAATTAGTTCACAAAGAAATATGTATTACTTTATATAACGACAATATAAGTGCACAAAAATTAGCTAACAACCCTGTACATCATAAACGCTCTAAACATATAGATATTCGTTACCACTTTATAATAATAATAATAATAATAAAAGTTTATTTGAAAAATGTACAAAAAATTAAATATAATAAATTTTTTTTTTAAATACATTTTTTTTTAATAATATAAATATTTTTTTTTTTTTATTTTAGGTACATACAAATAAACTACCCATTGCCACAAAGTATAAAAACTGTCCGTGGCGTGTGTAGAGATATGTTAAGTACTATTTTATGTTTTATTTTACAATTAATTAATATAATACAAATACTGACATATAATAATAATAATAATAATAATAATAATAGAGAAATTTGCCGCTTTTTTTTTTAATTTTCATTATTTTTTATTTTTTATTTTATTTATTTTTTTTTTTAATAAATTTTTTTATTCTTTTTTTATTTTTCATTTATCTATCGATATTCATATCAATAATATTTCTGATATTTGCTCTATATTCTTCTAATAAAAATTTTTTTGTTCTTGTTTTAAATTGCGATAATGATTTTGATTTTAGAATTTTTGGAGGTAAATAATTTAACACTTTTGATGCTAAGAAGAAGTGGCATTTTTGGCCTACAGTCTTGCGAGATGCTAAGTCTTTATATTTAATTTTGTTTTTTCGTCTTGTTTCGTGTTCATGAGTAACAATATTAAGGCTAGTTGGGTTTTTATAGTAGTAGTTGGCAATTTTAAGGAAAAAGTGTTTTTTAGGATCTAATATTTTTAATTCTTTGTATAGTTGGTCCGAGGGGTAAGTACGATTTTTTTTATAAATAATTTTTAAGAATAATTTTTGAATAGTTTCAATTTTTTCTAGATAAACATTAGTTGCTCCACCCCAGCCAATGATTCCATAGTTTATTCTCGATTCCACCAAAGCATAATATAACATTTTTAGGTAAGGTAAATCCAGGATATTTGTAAGATATTTAAATTTATATAGAAATGTTCTTAATGTATTAACTACCTTATTTATATGATGATTCCACCTTAGGTGACAATCAATTGTGATACCCAAATACGTAACTTTTTTTTCTGATTTAATTTCAATATTTTTGCTATTATATATTATGTTTAGAGTATTATGGTTAGGAAGATTGTTTTCGTAACTTGTTAGAGATAAAAAGTGTGTTTTATTATAATTAACAGTAAGAAGCCTATGATCAAACCAATTAAAAAGGAGTTTTAAGTCATCCTCAACTAATACCTTTAAGTCCTTCCACGTATCTGCCGAATAGAAAACAACGGTATCATCGGCAAAGCTAAGTACCTGGCCCTTATTATTTAATGATAATAAATCATTAATATATATATTAAACAGAATTGGGCCAAGTACTGTGCCTTGGGGTATCCCGCATTTTACATTCTTTACACTACTCATGTGTTCTTCTATTTGTACGCATTGCTTTCCATTCAACAGATAACTTTTAAAAAGCTCAAAAGCACTACCCCTTACTCCTGCATCTGCCAAGGCTTCCAACAACTGTTGATGGTCAACAGTGTCAAATGCCTTGGCAAGATCCAGGAACACAGCGATTGATGGTCTACTCTGGTCCATTGATGTGTACATTTGTTTTGTAAGCTCCGCTATAGAATCCTCAGTTGAGGGAAGCTATATCTAATAATTTTGTTAAAATAGCTTATTTGCCTAAAGAAGATATGATTGCTGACATATTAACAAAACTTTTGTAAGTTTTGATGTAGTGGGGGTGTTAATTTTAAACATCAAAACCGACCCTTATATCTATGTTGGTATTACTGAATAATGATAAATGACAAATCAATATCTGTCAATAAAGTCAATGTTTTGCTGTATTTGAAATCAGAAGGTTGTGTTGTTTTATTTCCCGTTTCCCGGCTAATTTTAACAGATGTTTCCATATTTTATTTAATTGTCAGTAATTTCGTTCATTAAAGCCTTACTAAAGGTCTTTTGCGTTTATTACACGCAGCACATTCAATACCTAATTCCCTCGTAATCGTTACACTTAAAACTACGGGACATAGGTATCATTGAGGTAATCGGTCGCAAAACACATTTTATAGTATTTAGGCTCCTCCCATTAAGACCGAATTTTATACTTCCGACCACACCGCTCATCCCCTGTCCTGTGAGAAAGGTAAATTCTCCTCTTAATAATAAATTCAACCATAAGAAAATAAGTTATAAATCTGCACGTTGGCTATAGGACTATATGGACAGATTATTATTCGTTAAAATACTTATACCTTTAAAAATAGGATTTTATCTATTTATCAAAAAATAAGTAAATTTAACAATTCTGGAAAGTATTTTCATAAATCTACATACTTAAAATAACTTTAAAAAGTCGTCAGTGGTTTTCGCGTTGACCGCATAATGATTTTGATGCTTCCAAGTCAATATAGCTTAACTCAATTTTTTTCTTCCTCTAAAACACTTCCACAAACCATATCGTGCTTCCCAGTCTTCAAAAAATAGGTCAGGTCTATTCCATAGAATGTGGTGTTGGGCATACTCGTAATGTGTTTTTAATGGTGGATTTAAATGAGGAGCCCATTCTGCTCTTTTTTCCATGACTGTAAGTACGTACGTATAGAACACTTGCGCTTTATAGATATAGCAAATCAGAGTCAAGATGGATAACACTGTGGCATGCAAGTGATGAGATCTCAACCTATTCACTGGAGTCAACCGTAGTGCATACTCTTGCAGACTCATCGCTACAGTAACGAAACACGATGCTGTATATCCACACGGAATATCCACAAGAGTTATGGCTACGCAGGCAAATGTATTTTCCAGACCCGTCTTATCATCACAAGTCAAGAAGCTACCCATTATTATTTCATATACGATTTGTTTCACTCTTTTGAAAAAAGCTTTGTCGCGATTATGACATTTTTTTATTATTAACTTAAAATCGCATTCTTGAAAGAAAATTTTTGGAGTCAGAAAATGTTTTATATTATCATTTCTATCTACAAGATGATGCCAGATTTTTAATGCAATGATGGTTTTTATAGGATTTTGCGAAAAGAATAATTTAAAGACTATAGGTAGTGGTCCTCTAGCTAGAGCTGCATTTTTTGTGTTCGTCTTGTATTTATATGCTGCATGAATGCATAACTTTCCTAATGTAAAAATCATGTCTTCATCTTCATCGTATTCGTTAATTTTGTTTATTGTTAGGTAGATTAATATAATTAAATCGTGACTGTTGAGATTGTTAATTATATTTCGAATGCAATTTTCCAAACCCAATCTTAATGAGCTGTAATTATATATTTCTTGTGGTTTTGGAGAAATGCTGCTTTCCATCATATTTAGAAATTTCTCTAGTATATATTGCGGTATATTCTTCCATTTTATTTTCCTTACAATGTTATATAAAAGTTCTGTAAGATATTTAGCTTCTTGAGTGCTGGTAATGGTGGAATATTCTATAGTAAAAATAATATCGTCGATACTGTCTGATGCGGGTCTTAGTTCAAAAAGACCTACTATCATATCTGTACAACCAAATTCGATTTCCCATAATTTTCCCTCTTTATAAAAGGTAAGTATAGAGTTTAAGGCTACTCTTTGGTGAGGTTCTTTAATCAATGTTAGTAATTTGAAGTATACACTCATACAGTATTCTGCTTCCCTCTTTCTTGACCATGCTATTATCCCTGAGCTTTCGGTTTTAAGTCTTAATTGAAAATGATGGATACAACTAATCATACTCCAAATAATATGAATTACGTGTTGAATGGTCAGATAATCAGGATTCGCTCTTTCTACTAAATTTTCAATTATCTGTATGCCGATCTTTCGTCTCAAATGGAGTTCATGTAAGTCTTTTACGCCTCTTAGACAACATTTGTAAAGTGTTTTAACTTCGCTTTCAAATTCTTTTTTGTCCATCGTCGATAACATGCCCATCAATTTAAGACATTTTCGCTTAAAACTGTTTCTTTTCTTTATATCTTCGAATTTAGATTCTGAAATAAATATGTTGATTTCAGTCAACTCATCGGAGGTTTTATTAATTATATCATTTATATGATTAACATCCATGTTAGAATCTTCATTTTCACTTGTTTCATCATTTTTTTGATTGTTCTTAGGAGGATCTGCATTATCGTAACTCATAAATAGGTAAATAATTTGTGACAATTAAATAAAAATGACAAAACCCTTGTGACAAACACACTAGCGTCTATTAGGCATTCCAAACAAATGAATTACCAGTGGGCAGGTTTGGTATATCTAAGGGTGGCGACATATGGTGTATTCTATCTACTTTACATAAAATCATGAATAATGGATTACATTTAAATATTTTATGTCAAACACAATAAAAATATTTAAAAAACCTACCTATACATTTCTTCATAAATTGGCAGGCTTGGCGACTACTACTTCGAATAAAAATAGCGTCCAAGTTGCAAGACTATGTCGCTACCCCCTTAGATATACAAGAATTTCCCACTGGCACATATTGTTTGACAGGTCGTTGGAATGCCTAATTTCTTGTGCTCTACAAATGAACCTGCTTCTGTGGCGCCATCTAGTGAAGTAAGGTGAAGTGATAACGACAGCAGCAGTGGGATTCTCATCTTTCGTACTCGGGATATGCTGAGAAGCTCACAATTCGCTAGAAAATAATCGATTCTTATGTTAAATGGAGTTGGATATCGATCTAGACGTAAAAATAAGGCTGCCTTGGCGTTTTATATTTTTTGGTTGTTGTTATGTCATGTCATTAATAGGTGTTTTTGGTTAGAAAGTGTTTCCCCAGTATATATACCAATCAGTATGGGCCACATACTTTGATGGTATTGGAACTCTGAGGCGGCACGTTTGATCTTTAAAAGTAGAAATTTTAGTTGATACTTGACGTTTTCGGGATATGAAAAGTTTTCTTTACACGGACTTGGTATACATGGTTAGTTGAATTTTTGTTCTGCTGCTTTTCAAATTCGTGTGTATGAGGCAGATGTGAGATACCTTAATAGACAACGGTTGAATAACTTAATTACTTTGAAGAAGAAAATAGATTAGATATCAGGGCAGTCTTCGCAAATGTAAGGACAGAACCGTTTTAAATTTTTTTATATATGTGAAATATTACTTTTTGGTGAAAAGTTTAATTACTTTTAGTTCAAAATATAACGTTAGTTTGTCAAGGAAAATATATAACACACAAGGTTAAAGTAACAAAATAGAGGTATTGCTTTATTTCTTAAGAATTACTCTAATCTAAAACTTTTCTAGTATATTGTAAAAATTTATTCTATACGTTATTTAGGTACTGCAAAATCTATAGGAAAGTATGTAGTTTTAAATTTAAAAATTTGTAACGGAGACATATTTAGTGTAGTTTTTTTACAAATATATACTCAGTGACTTGTTTTTGTGAATGAGTTCAAGTGTGGCAGACTAAAATCGTTATTTTTTATTATGAATTAATTTGAATTTATTTTAAAATGGGAACTATATGTATATGGTTTTCGTAGTTTTTACACTTGTGATAAAAATATCAAAGTTATGTATATTGGCCATTTACTACACACAGCAAATTCATAGACACAATACATATTACTATTTGACATTCTTGTAAAACCACTAATTTAAAATTGACGTTAAACTAAGTGACTACACACAGAATTGTTTGAAAGCAGCCATAATGTATAAATTATTTATTGGATACTATAAAAAAATTAATAGTAGTTACATGTAGAGTTAAGTAACAAGAAATTTAAGACCAAAAACAAAACAAACCTTTATATCTAGTGAACTTAATTTAGTACAGTCCTCAACTTTCTTAGGCTATTAAAGATATCTATTTGGATCTCGCTAAGAAACTCATTGGTAACAGCCATCATCTTGTTAAAAAGAGATATACTACTTGAATCTAAATCAAATAATTTATTGTTACTTGGGTTTCTTAGATTAATCTTTGTCGCATTAACATTTATATAGTACATCAATTCACAATCTTTGTACTTAAAATAGAGTACAAAATATATCACAGCCTGTTGCTTTCTTCTTTGTAAAAGAGATTTAATCTTAAAACTATTGAGCATAGTTTTATACGAGATCTTAGGTATAAGGGTACACGTATTTTTTATGACATAAAGGTACCGTAAAAATATTTTTTGTACTTTTTCAATATGATCAATTTGTGTGGCTTCCAAGGGCATCCATATTTGTGAAAAATACTCAAGATGGAGTCTTACTAAGGCATTATTTAATCTGATTTTGGTGGTAATCCTAAATTTTTTTGTATTTCTGATTTAAAAACCTAATGCTTTTATTGCTTTTTTAGTTATGTGTAAAAAATTGTTATTGAACTTCAAATTAGACTGAAAGACAACTCCCAAATCCTTTACCTCATATTAACGATTTAATGTGACATCACAGGTCTTATTTCTAATGTAAAACATTAAGAGGCTATGGATCCTTACAACTTAAAATATGCATACGTTTGTGCTAAATAGACGAATAAAAAGTGTTGATTTTTATTTACAACTATAATAAGAACCCATTAAAAAGATTAAGAGCAATAGAACATTTCAACAAATGTCTATAGGTACACATATTTTTGATACCTGATAATCAATAAATAATATATTTTTTGGAGTAGCAACAGGTTTATTAATACACAACTATTATTTTGTTACAAATACTTATAATATTTATAATTAACATAATAGTTGATATAAGTCCTTTAAAAATAATATATTTTGATTTAATTGTTGAATTTATACATGAGCAATTTTCCTTGTAGCATTGTTTACATTTTGCAGAGAAATATTGTATTCTGCTTTTAGCTGATAAATCATGTACATGTAAATGGGTTGAATGTAGACAATGTTAATGTTTTTGCTACTACTGCTGGCTAGAAATGCTGGGCTGGGACACCAACAGAAAAAAAGGAAGCACAAAGTACTAGATGTTTTTATCACTTATACACGTACAATTTACAACCATTCAAGTAACTAGCATGTTGGAAATACTTCACGAAAACATATTAAACATAAATCAGTCGAAGGCAATGTATTTTCTTTTTATAACAGACCTTTTTAGCTTGATTACTTTTAGTACTCTATTTATTCCAATGTCCTCAAATAAAACGAGCAATAATAAGGATAAAACACACACTGAAGTGTATTTGGGGTATTTTTGATCTAAATCCACTATCAAAATAACAAATTTTCCGTTTTTAAGCTGTGAATGTATTACAAAAACTACTTCGATAAAATGTAAACAAAAGTTTATATTTGTGTACGAAATATGGGTTGCCTGCGCATGGTAGCGAGTTTTAACCGGATTTATGACAAGTGATAGGTTATATCCCGAAAACGTCAGAGCAGTAAAAGCTGCGCGTCTTTTTCCCGCCCAGTGAGTGTCATGGGCCTGGTGTTTCGTTTGAAATATTTTTTTTAATAATTAAGCTAATATATAAAATTTTTGTCTTCTCTATTAAAATAGACGTTTAGAATACATATTTAGTTATTTTAAAATACAGTAAAATGGGTGGAAGACACTTGTGTGCCTTAATGCAACCCTGGTATAATTATTTTATTAAAAAATGGCATTCTGTTACATTTCATCGGTTTCCTAAAAACGGTAGATGTAAGGTAATTTTGTAATATAAAAGTGGAAAATCTGAACTTGTGGATGCAAGAAGAGTACCTATGCTTCAAAACTTGAAAATAGGGAAGCAAAATTTATGAAAGGAAAGTTTGTTCTCAGCATTTTAAAGATTCATATGTATAAAGGTAATACCTAGGTATATTTTTAATTTAATGTTAATTTAATTTTTTTTATGTTGCAGCTGCCACATCTCAAATAAAAAGAAACTCTCTTTTAAAACTGCCAATTGTTAAGGAACATTCTTATGACTCTGTTCCATCTACTTCAAAATCTAACAAAGGCTAATAAAAATAATTCGAAATAAAAAAATTTCTCAATCAGTTTGAATATAATAATTAGAACACACAATAAGGGTTAATTTGTTCATTGAACCAATTCATTAAAATAAATTGAAAATGTTTATTGATTTAATAAAAAAAAGTATTGTTTCAATGCACAAATTATATTAAACCAATGTACTAATACATTGAAACAACGCAAAAATATTCATTGGTACAACGAACAAATAAATACATTGATATAATAATCAGATTTTACTGGATCTATGTACTAATTCATTGAAATTACACAAGAATATTCATTGATTCAACGAAAATATGCATTGATATAATATTCAAATTTAACTGGATCTATGAACCTACTGGGTAATTCATTAAAAAAAATTAATTACATTTAATTTGTCGTAGTTTATAAATTTTTCTATTATCAGTTTAACCAATATAGATCAATATATAGAAGAATACCATAATGAACCAATTAAATCAATTCAAATAGAAAATGTTACTGATTTTAATGCATTTATTTCTATTAGAAGTTTCAAAATTTTTAACACTAATATCCGTAGCATTTCCAAAAATGCTGATGAACTCTATGTATATTTAAGTGCAATAATGGAAAAGTTTGAAATAATCATTCTTACAGAAACTTTTCGTGTATATGATAAGGATATTTTTGGGATAGAAGGATTTAACACTCTATATAATGAGGGGAAACATAACAGGAATGACGGTATAGTGGTTTTCATTAAGGAAAATTTAAACTACGAATATTCTGTTATTAAAATGGGAAATGTCAAAATATTGCAAACAAAAATTTTAACTGATTCCAAAAAACTTATTATTACTTCTATATATCGTTCACCCAATAGCCCAATACATGCATTTCTTGATGACCTACAAAACTTTCTTGAAAATTACAGAGAAATGGCAGATATAAACATATTTACAGGTAACATCAATATTGACCTGTTAACTAGAAATGATGAACAAATAGAAAATTACAAAAATATTATGGAATGTCACAACTACACATCTTGCATTAACGATGTCACCAGACCTGATAGTTTAACCTGTTTAGACCATGTTTTTGTTAAAACCAATCCACTGGAATATGAATAAATAAATTCATTTATTTTCCATGATAAAATCACTGACCATCGTCCCATATCACTAGTACTTGATTTAAAATTGGAAAACAAGGTATCTAATTTTATTTTAAAAAAATACATAAATTATAAAAACTTAATAGAGGATTTAAAACGAGAGTCGTGGACGG